TATACTATCTCGTTTTCATGATTTTTCATGCCTTACTATAGTATGACGATTAATGCCTTACTATACTATGATGTTTTCACGACTTTTTATACCATAATATACTATCTCGTTTTCATGATTTTTCATGCCTTACTATAGTATGACGATTAATGCCTTACTATACTATGATGTTTTCACGACTTTTTATACCATAATATACTATCTCGTTTTCATGATTTTTCATGCCTTACTATAGTATGACGATTAATGCCTTACTATACTATGATGTTTTCACGACTTTTTATACCATAATATACTATCTCGTTTTCATGATTTTTCATGCCTTACTATAGTATGACGATTAATGCCTTACTATACTATGATGTTTTCACGACTTTTTATACCATAATATACTATCTCGTTTTCATGATTTTTCATGCCTTACTATAGTATGACGATTAATGCCTTACTATACTATGATGTTTTCACGACTTTTTATACCATAATATACTATCTCGTTTTCATGATTTTTCATGCCTTACTATAGTATGACGATTAATGCCTTACTATACTATGATGTTTTCACGACTTTTTATACCATAATATACTATCTCGTTTTCATGATTTTTCATGCCTTACTATAGTATGACGATTAATGCCTTACTATACTATGATGTTTTCACGACTTTTTATACCATAATATACTATCTCGTTTTCATGATTTTTCATGCCTTACTATAGTATGACGATTAATGCCTTACTATACTATGATGTTTTCACGACTTTTTATACCATAATATACTATCTCGTTTTCATGATTTTTCATGCCTTACTATAGTATGACGATTAATGCCTTACTATACTATGATGTTTTCACGACTTTTTATACCATAATATACTATCTCGTTTTCATGATTTTTCATGCCTTACTATAGTATGACGATTAATGCCTTACTATACTATGATGTTTTCACGACTTTTTATACCATAATATACTATCTCGTTTTCATGATTTTTCATGCCTTACTATAGTATGACGATTAATGCCTTACTATACTATGATGTTTTCACGACTTTTTATACCATAATATACTATCTCGTTTTCATGATTTTTCATGCCTTACTATAGTATGACGATTAATGCCTTACTATACTATGATGTTTTCACGACTTTTTATACCATAATATACTATCTCGTTTTCATGATTTTTCATGCCTTACTATAGTATGACGATTAATGCCTTACTATACTATGATGTTTTCACGACTTTTTATACCATAATATACTATCTCGTTTTCATGATTTTTCATGCCTTACTATAGTATGACGATTAATGCCTTACTATACTATGATGTTTTCACGACTTTTTATACCATAATATACTATCTCGTTTTCATGATTTTTCATGCCTTACTATAGTATGACGATTAATGCCTTACTATACTATGATGTTTTCACGACTTTTTATACCATAATATACTATCTCGTTTTCATGATTTTTCATGCCTTACTATAGTATGACGATTAATGCCTTACTATACTATGATGTTTTCACGACTTTTTATACCATAATATACTATCTCGTTTTCATGATTTTTCATGCCTTACTATAGTATGACGATTAATGCCTTACTATACTATGATGTTTTCACGACTTTTTATACCATAATATACTATCTCGTTTTCATGATTTTTCATGCCTTACTATAGTATGACGATTAATGCCTTACTATACTATGATGTTTTCACGACTTTTTATACCATAATATACTATCTCGTTTTCATGATTTTTCATGCCTTACTATAGTATGACGATTAATGCCTTACTATACTATGATGTTTTCACGACTTTTTATACCATAATATACTATCTCGTTTTCATGATTTTTCATGCCTTACTATAGTATGACGATTAATGCCTTACTATACTATGATGTTTTCACGACTTTTTATACCATAATATACTATCTCGTTTTCATGATTTTTCATGCCTTACTATAGTATGACGATTAATGCCTTACTATACTATGATGTTTTCACGACTTTTTATACCATAATATACTATCTCGTTTTCATGATTTTTCATGCCTTACTATAGTATGACGATTAATGCCTTACTATACTATGACGTTTTTATGACTTTTTATGCCTTACTATACTATGTCGTTTTTATGACTTTTTATACCATAATATACTATCTCGTTTTCATGACTTTTCATGCCTTACTATAGTATGACGATTAATGCCTTACTATACTATGATGTTTTCACGACTTTTTATACCATAATATACTATCTCGTTTTCATGATTTTTCATGCCTTACTATAGTATGACGATTAATGCCTTACTATACTATGATGTTTTCACGACTTTTTATACCATAATATACTATCTCGTTTTCATGATTTTTCATGCCTTACTATAGTATGACGATTAATGCCTTACTATACTATGATGTTTTCACGACTTTTTATACCATAATATACTATCTCGTTTTCATGATTTTTCATGCCTTACTATAGTATGACGATTAATGCCTTACTATACTATGATGTTTTCACGACTTTTTATACCATAATATACTATCTCGTTTTCATGATTTTTCATGCCTTACTATAGTATGACGATTAATGCCTTACTATACTATGATGTTTTCACGACTTTTTATACCATAATATACTATCTCGTTTTCATGATTTTTCATGCCTTACTATAGTATGACGATTAATGCCTTACTATACTATGATGTTTTCACGACTTTTTATACCATAATATACTATCTCGTTTTCATGATTTTTCATGCCTTACTATAGTATGACGATTAATGCCTTACTATACTATGATGTTTTCACGACTTTTTATACCATAATATACTATCTCGTTTTCATGATTTTTCATGCCTTACTATAGTATGACGATTAATGCCTTACTATACTATGATGTTTTCACGACTTTTTATACCATAATATACTATCTCGTTTTCATGATTTTTCATGCCTTACTATAGTATGACGATTAATGCCTTACTATACTATGATGTTTTCACGACTTTTTATACCATAATATACTATCTCGTTTTCATGATTTTTCATGCCTTACTATAGTATGACGATTAATGCCTTACTATACTATGATGTTTTCACGACTTTTTATACCATAATATACTATCTCGTTTTCATGATTTTTCATGCCTTACTATAGTATGACGATTAATGCCTTACTATACTATGATGTTTTCACGACTTTTTATACCATAATATACTATCTCGTTTTCATGATTTTTCATGCCTTACTATAGTATGACGATTAATGCCTTACTATACTATGATGTTTTCACGACTTTTTATACCATAATATACTATCTCGTTTTCATGATTTTTCATGCCTTACTATAGTATGACGATTAATGCCTTACTATACTATGATGTTTTCACGACTTTTTATACCATAATATACTATCTCGTTTTCATGATTTTTCATGCCTTACTATAGTATGACGATTAATGCCTTACTATACTATGATGTTTTCACGACTTTTTATACCATAATATACTATCTCGTTTTCATGATTTTTCATGCCTTACTATAGTATGACGATTAATGCCTTACTATACTATGATGTTTTCACGACTTTTTATACCATAATATACTATCTCGTTTTCATGATTTTTCATGCCTTACTATAGTATGACGATTAATGCCTTACTATACTATGATGTTTTCACGACTTTTTATACCATAATATACTATCTCGTTTTCATGATTTTTCATGCCTTACTATAGTATGACGATTAATGCCTTACTATACTATGATGTTTTCACGACTTTTTATACCATAATATACTATCTCGTTTTCATGATTTTTCATGCCTTACTATAGTATGACGATTAATGCCTTACTATACTATGATGTTTTCACGACTTTTTATACCATAATATACTATCTCGTTTTCATGATTTTTCATGCCTTACTATAGTATGACGATTAATGCCTTACTATACTATGATGTTTTCACGACTTTTTATACCATAATATACTATCTCGTTTTCATGATTTTTCATGCCTTACTATAGTATGACGATTAATGCCTTACTATACTATGATGTTTTCACGACTTTTTATACCATAATATACTATGACGTTTTTATGACTTTTTATGCCATACTATACTATGCCGTTTTTTATGACTTTTTATGCCTTACTATAAAAACGACATAGACGACATTTATTAACATGTTTTGTACCTTGCTATACTATGACGTTTATATGCCTAAATATAAAATGACATTTTTTATGATTTAGTATACAATGACATTTTTGTGCCTCAGCACACTAAGACTTTTTTTGACTTAATATAGTATATATTTTTATTCAGTACTATAGTATGACATTTTCATGACTTATTACAGTATGAATTTTCATGCCTTACTATACCATGAGTTTTCATTCCTTAGCATACTATGAGTTACTTATGGTTTGGAATGGTAGTGTAGTTTTTTGAGCTGTTGCCTCACAGTTTTGAGTGGGAAGAGTCTGGGTTTGGACCCAGGGCAGCCCAAAAATATGAACATCAGGTTAACTGTCAACTCTATTGCCTTCCCATACTATGACTTTTTATGCCATACTATACTATGACATATGACATATAAATGACATATAGGTCTCTATATCAAGAATGATGTTACCATATGTGTCACATATAAGAGGATACACACATATAAGAGGATATATTATTATGACATATATACATCCTCTGGATATATTAAGATATAAGATTATAACATATATGAAATACTCATAGTAAAATGCAACTTTATTAACATATATAATTATATTACATTTGCGTATGGGCATTTCTGAATCTAAATTCAGATCTTATATGTTAATAAACTGTTAGGTTGACAGCATTAAAAAGTCAATCTCTTTGTTTTGGAGGGGTGGCGTTGTTGTTGTGTCCCTACCAATGTTGAGACCAAACCTACGCCCCTGGGTTGCAGCAAGGCCACACTTAGTACTTACTGAAAACTGAGCCAGATTTATTTAAGTTTGGGCCAAGTTTTTCTGAATTGGAAAAACAGGAAGAACAGAAAGAAAGAAAAAAATAGGTAGTCAGAGATGGAGGATAAGCAAAGAAGAAAGAAGAAAATAGAGTAGGGTGGTCAGCACAGGCACAGTGTGTGAGGGGATTCTGTTGCCTGGGGGCTTTGCCTACAAGTGTATACAGGCTTATATTTTTTTAAAGAGAATGTCATCACAACATAACACATCAGTCTATAGTCAGAAATACAATAAAAGCACAAACCAAACCAAAGAATCGAGTGGAGAATCGAATATTTACACCCTGATGATGTGGCCATTGCCTCACTTCCTACTTTCATGCTCAGATAGGCACAGCTAATAGCTAACTATTATAGAGGTGAAAGAAAATAATGAGTGCTTATATAGAGATATAAAAAGCACTAAAATGCAAGCTGCAAAACATGTTGCCGAATATTATCCTTACAATATTTTGTGTTGCCATATATTTTTTTAAATACATTAATCATGACAGATTTACTTTAAAAAGCTGGTAGACACAGCTGCCCCAGTGACCGATAGTGTCAGTGAACGAGAGGGTGTTGTTTGTGAGCTTCCCATCTTGTTGCGACGTATTAATGCTTCCTTCTCACCTGCAAACTGTCTCTCCGACGTCCCCCTGCCTCCAAACTTAGTCACAAGCTTCCCATTGGACTGAAAGATGAAGACACAGCAGGCCTTGTTGTCCACGGTGATGATGTGTCCATTCTTATCCACAGCCACACCTTTAGGACCCATGAGCCGGCCTGCGCCGATCTTATTCTGGGAGGGTGCAGGACAGAGAGGATTTTAGCAGGGAAAGAAAGAAATGCACATTGAGAGAATTTCTAAACCATCGTTATCTCTTTATGTTATAATGTTCATTTTCTTATGTTTCACCTGATGAATTCAGAAAACCTTTTGAGACAGTGCAGCCTCACCTTAAACTTGCCATCAGAGGAGAAGATGCTGACCCAACGATTGTCATAGTCAGCCACAACAATGTCACCGTTCATGTCCACAGTGACGCCTGTCGGTCTTTGCAGCTGCCCCGGAGACCGACCTCTGACCCCAAAGCGCATCTTGAACTGGCCATCATTGGAGAATACCTGTAATCAGTTCCATCACAGGACATTAACAACACTACTTTCCTTTTCTACATGACCCACACATGTTTGCACCTTACATGCATCTTCCTCTCTGTGTCTGCCTCACCTGTATGCACTGGTTGTTGCTGTCAGCCACCACCACTCTGCCGTTACTAGAGGCTGAGATTCCCTGCAGATTGGTGAACTCCCCCCTCTCTCTGCCCCGGGACCCTGAAAGAAAAATAATTACACACTCAGTAAATGTGCCATTTGATATTTTTACCTTAGTTCCAGTGTGTCACATTTTTCCTCAAAGGCTCATACATTGACGCTGATCATTTTACAAAGCATAACTTGACTTTTACCTTCCAGGTAAATTGAGTTTTTTCATGTCAGTACAGTTCAAAAATGAACTTGCATAAACCTGCTTGAGCCAGGTACTCAATCACAGTGAGAAATGACACTTTCATTCATTTGTGGAAGTTACATAATCTCTCTTTCTCTAACTCTTTATAATGCAAATAAGCAACCACCAAATTCTTATTATCCTTTACACATCACCCATGTTTACTTGTTGTTTGCTTTCTAGGTGTGATCTCCTGACAACATAGCTTGTGAATACAGTGGATTTTCAGTGGATGTCATTCCTTCTGTCAGGTCTCAGCAGGTTGACTTTCATTCTGCAGTCCAGTGGCATGAACTGAAAACAGCCAGGAAGTGAGAATGCCAATCTAAAAACTTGTTTTATGGTTCAGAGACTAGTTTGTGGTAATGTTACACATTCCTGATCTGCAATTAAAACAACAAATACAGGAAATACAGAGGAAATATAGTATTTTCCCTGCTATGACATACTGTATGTCTACATGCTCTCCTGGATGTGGTCAGCCGTCTTACCCACTCTGTAGATGAGCTCATCTTCAATGGGGTTCTCCTTTTTCTTGGTGGTGCTGTACATGCTGGAAGGCCGCCGCACCGCTTTCTGCCGTATGTGGCCCCCTGTCCCGCTGGGAGACTTCACCCTCCTCTTCACGTCATCCGGAGACTGTGGCACATCCGAGGGCTTCACCGCCCGCAGGCGGAACGGGCTGCTGCGTATCGGCTGGCCGTACAGCAGCAGAGCAAAGGAGTACTCTCCCTCAGAGCGTAACGTGTAGCCCACCTCATATGTTCCGTTCTTATTGTCCGTTACCTCTGTCTCTGCAGCGCGGCTCCCATCAACGGACGTTATCTCTGCTTTTAAAACAGCGTTTCCTGTCCGCACCAGCTCGCCATCCTGCAGATAGAGGTCACTGATTCAATTCCACAACAGCAAAAAAAAAATCTCTTGTTGTTCAAGCATGATGCACATGGGCACAGCATCTAGGGCAGCACTTTCTACAGACACATCACAAGCTACCAAAAGATTTTATTTTTGATAATAATAATATCCCCATTAGTTGCCTTGGTTACCAGAGTCTCCACCATAAAATAACTTGCAAAAAACAAGCTAATAATGGCGTGAAATTTCAAGCTGCTCTCGATGGTTCACTTTACACATGTAGGAAATGACAGTGAGGCTAAATGACATGAAGACAGTACCTTATCTTTTGTTGTCACAGTAACGGTGTGGTGCTGCCCGGTTGCTGCGTGGCGGAGGCCCTCTCCTGTGGCAACGGAGGTGTGAGCTACAGCTGCTGTGGTGAGGAGAACACCCAGGTTTTGGATGGAGCGTCGCAGACCTTCAGTCTCCACCTGCAGCGCACAAGATACACAACATTTTCAACTGTAGAATAACTTCCTGCTTTCTAAAGTTGGTGGAAAACAAACCAGTTAAAAGGAAAGTGAATATTAAGCCATCAGATGACCATGAATACAACTACAATGGGATGTTCATGTTGCTCTTTGTCTGCTGGATGTAAAAACTTACTTAACTCAGCTTTAATGTCTATATTCTCCAGCGATAAACATCTACATTTTCACAGTACAACTTGAGATCATTAGTGACAACAAGGAAAAACTCCCACATCCTCAATAGGAGAACAAAATGTTAAAAATAGACCGAAGAACTGCTTAAAATTGCATTGCGTCACCATATAGGAACAACAGTCAGATCACAATAGTAAAAAGCAGAGAAACAGTTTGAATCAGTATAAGCAGCAGGCGATACCTGGCAGTCCAGGTGTGCATTCTGATGTGGTCTCTCGGGAAAGTCGTGTCGGGCCAGCGCTGTTACCCGCTCACTCATCTGCTTCTGAACCAGCAGCACCTTGCAAGAGACACATATTGTCTTCTAAGTCAGTTTTTAATACATCATTTGGCAAGAGCTCCCATTGTGTTACACTGCTGCATCATATTTGATAGCTGGCTCCCATAAGTGTTGTTAAGTGTTTGCTAGCTTGCTTGAACAAATTACAATCTGTCAGCGCACCTCAGTAGCACTCCCGTGGCTGAGAGCCTGCTCTGTAAAGCTGCAGCTGCTCTGGATGTGTTCCTTCCCCTGAAGGAGAGATGAGAGCTGGGCCTGCAGGACCTGCACTCAGGTAAGTGGAATACAAGGGGACACAGAAGAGAATGAGATGAAATATATAAAAAGAGGTGATTAAGAGTCTTTTATAATATTAAGTATTGTTGACAGGAATGTGAGAAATGTGACATGTTTATACGAATGTGTACGCTTGTGTGTCTGACTATGAGTGTGCAAAAATGCAAGTGCACAGAAATATGCATGTGCATGCGTGTGAGAGCATATACTGTATATATGTGCATGTTCAAAACATGCTAACCTTCTGCTTGGCGCTGCAGATGCTCTCCAGGTCTGTGATGAGGGCCGACTTGCGCTGATGCAGCGCCCGCTCCAGCTCTTCGAACGTGCTGGTAATCTCTGCCACTGCCTCATTCTTCCTGTCATTCAGCTGACGAGAGATCTCACTCACCAGCTCGATGGCTGCTGTCAGCTGAGGGAGCCTGCAAGATCGCACAAGATTGCACAATGTGAACTTTTATAAATCCTTACTAAAATTAAATTAAAAATCAAAAGATAGTCTGATGAGGAAGTAGCTAGAAAGCTACAAAAACGTATTCTTTGCTGAGCATGAACATGTGTCACTATAATCAGTACCAAGTTTTAACACACCAGGCACAGCACAGCACAGGTGACATTTGATGGCAAACTGGGCCAAATGCCTAAGCTCCCAAACACCTGATGTGAAGGATATATTCTGAAAGCTTTATCAAGGCATCAAGCTCCCCACCTGCTGTGTATTGCGTCCAGCTGTGTCTTCAGCGCAGCCTTGTGCTGTTCCACGACGTCCCGCAGAGGAACAGTCACATGCTCCCGGTGCTCCCCCTCTGTACAGTCCAGACACATGGCCGTCTCACATGATTCGCAGTAGAACTCCATCACCTGCAGAGGGAGACAAACTAAGTAAAAAAAAAAGCTCCCTCAATCTTGCTGGGAATTGCAGATAGGTTTAAGTTCAGTTTTCACTTGCACTTTAATAATTGCTAAAAAAAAAAAGAGGCGATGACTGAGCTGAGAGTATCCCACCTTCCCCTCATGGTTTGGGCAGCAGAGGGGTTTTCCTGCAACTGCGGCGCTGACTGACTCCAGGACACTGCAGGCCTCCGGCCGCGAGCACTCTGGGTCTCGTTGAAGGACCTGGTCGGACAAACATTTGAACCTTCATTATGCTGTTCTGTAATGAGCAGTAGACTTGTAAGAAAACCATCTGTGTGGCCTGGTGTTGTATTGTTTCCATTTTTCTTTTAGTGTTTCTGGGGACATTTTTTTCTTTTATTTGACAGTTAATAGCTGACAGGAAACAAGAGCACAGAGCGGGGATATTTAATAAAAGTCCCCAGCCAGAATTGAAGTGGTGGCACTGGTAAACAAATCCTAAAAAGAGCCCCTTGAAGAAGCAAGGACTGTCCTGAATGAGCTCAGTCTGAAAAAATGTCCTCCCTTTGTTTAACACTGGGAGTGGTTCTCACAAAAACAGCATCAGCAACACACATAAACCCTCTGGCTCAGTACTGTCTGTAACTGCTTTTTAATAATCTTTGCTTTGTTGTTTACTTCATAATCGTTTCTTCCTTTGTTCCATGTAATGTACTTGAAAATCCTGTCAGGCTAACACATTTGTGTCTGACTTGAAGAAAACGAAAAAAAAAAAAGGATTAAGAGTCAAACCTCCATGAGATTAGTGATGAAGAAGTTGTTCTGTAGAGCACAAACTCCTTTCTCCGGCAAGATAGACGTCTGCCGACACACTGGACACGAGAGCGTCAGAGACTCTGGGGGAATGTAGTTCTGGAGACAACTGAGGAGGGAGAACAAGTTAAAGAAAGCATGAGTTAGAGTATGAGATATACCCATGTGATTCTTTTGCACTGTTCTGTGTATAATTATTAGTCATATTCAATTTACGGATACAGCAGAGAGAGAATGAGAGGACTCTAGAGAGGGAGAGCTGTCACCTTATCACCGTAATTGAGAAACAGCGTCTGAGCGGTGCCGCTGTCACAACAAATTGGGGGAAAGTGTAAATCCAAGTCAATACACAGAACCCACAGCCTCAGGAGAAAACACCCGCAGTTTGAGGCTTTGAGTAAGTGAATTTCTGGCAAACTAATCTGCCTGACAGAGATGCACCGAGACAAAAGACTTCGGGGAGAGTATATGTTCGTGTGTGGCTCGTATGTTTATGTGTGTGTGGCATGTGAGAAGGCCCGAGCCTCATCCTGGCAGCAGTCACACATCTACATCTATCCCACCAGCCCCTAAAGGCTGAGGATGTTCAGGCTCAGTTGCCCTTAGGAGGCAATCAATTTAACATAAGACACCTTCAAACCTGAACCAAACCCACAGTCAGCAAAATTCAGCTGCAATATGCAGATTACACCGCATTCCCCCGACTGTTTTTTTTTTTTTTTTTTTTTTTTTTTTTTTTGTAGCTTCTGTGATCACTGATACTGGGGTTAATGCAACACAACCTGAGGTCAGTGTCGGGGATAAGTCTCTGTTGCTGTACACAGGGGTGTCTGGCAGCTGTCTGGGCTGGGCTACATACTAACACCTGCCTGTTTAATTTATGACAACACACCAGGCTTGTGTCAACCAGGCTTTGGTGAAGTGCAGTCATGAGCTGTTGAGAGCTTTAACTAAAGTCTTGGTCTATACCTATCGCTCTGTCAACACCACTATAACACTGTTCCTTTGTCACACGCACACAGCCAGCTGGCGACCACAGGCTCAAACACTTATATGGTGAAATGATCTGTAATGATTATTTTCATTGTCGATTAAGCTTTAGATTTGCAATTACCAGAATACCTGTTTAGGGAACATTAGAAAAAAGTTGAAAATGCTTTTCAAGATTTCTGTTTAAACTGCATATTTGTTCCAATAACAGTTAAAAAAAAAAAAATATATATATATATATATATATATATAATATATATTATTTTTTTTACAATTGATTATAAAACAGAGAAAAACAACAAATTAAATCGAAAAACTATTAATCAAAAACCAAAACAGTTTTTTTCATTATTCATTTTCTGTCATTCTAATTGATTAACTGGCTAATTTAAAGTCAAACAGTCATGAGTATGAGCACAAGAGGCCACATGACCCTGTTTATAGGAGGATATCATTTATTCTGGCATAATTTCAATAGGATAACCTGAGGCGATCCTGATCACACATCGCACATCATTATAGATTCATAAGCAGATGTGCTGTAAGTTTACGTGATTAACGACAGATAATCAAAGGAAGCAAAATTAAAAGTGATACCAGACCATACCAATCACAATAGGCCCAGCAGCGGTTGCCAGCTCAGCTTTAAAACCCCTAAAACTACATCAGCCCATTCAGTATTAAAACATCTTTCTGGCTACATCATGTATAGTTCCAGACAAAAATCTGTTCACCTCAGCAGGGCTTCAGATCACATGCCATCCAGTTAAACCGGGGATTAAACTTGCTTTCTGGTGGGCAAATGCCCCTCAATGCCCCCTGCTTGAAAAAAGGATTTATCCCATACTTTGTGCGGCTATTCAAAACTATTCCATAAATATTTGTTTGATGATAGGTTTAGAAGTAAACCAGTTTGAAACATAATCCTGGTTATCCTGTGCACCTAACAACACGCCCATCCCTTCTTTCTCCATCCTCCCACCCTGACCCACAACAAACTTTCCCAAAGGCCTCCTCAGCTTGGCTCGGCACGAAAAGACCGCAGTAAGTACCGCCCAAGGGGGTGTCGTCTTTCGAAGGAACTGCAAATTCAAGTATTGTAAATGTATCTCCCAACAATGGGGCTTTTTGTCAGACTGCAGTCACTGACGGTCCCTGATGCTAAGGAATGCACTTATCCCAGTGGAGTCGGTGAGGAGAAGTGCTCTGAGCTGTTTAATTGCGGGTAGGGATTTGCAATAGATGAGGTTCTTCTATTATGGGACATGTAAATATGACAAGAATTCTTCAGTAATAAGCAGGGAGGATAAGTCCTGGCAGGGAAAATAGCCACAGTGAAGCTTGTGTTCTACCACCTTCTTTGCATGGTCACAAAAAGCTACATGTAGCAGACGGTGTGAACAGGGGTGAGCAGAGACTTGGGTTTGTGTCAGATTTAGCTTGAGGGAATTGTGGGTAATTAAGGCTTTTGCCAGCATTCATTCAATAAGAGAGCACAAGTATTAGTTACCTTTCACAGAAGGTGTGCAGGCAGGGCAGGACCTTGGGGTTGCGGTAGTGATCCAGGCAAATGCTGCAGACCAGAAACTGCTTGTCTATCTGACGGACCACAGGGCTGGTGCTCCCAGCCTCACGCTTCGCCATGGCAGAGGACATTTAAAGCCACGAACAACGACAGCAGTTAGCCTGCAGAGAGAGAAAAAGATAAAAGTGTGAATATTTGCCTATATATGCCTATAAAAGCTTTTCTGTTGAGTGTCACTTTCATGGCCGCTAAAGCTCAGCAAACTTCCCGCAGGAGGTACCAGGAACCAAAGTGAACAAAGCTGATTAACTCCTTGATTAGTATAAAAATGTCTCCATTGTTGTGGTGTTATTTCTAGGTTAATGCCAGACAAAGCCAGCTGAAGGAGAACTGTGTGAAACAGACACATGCACCAGTGCTGAGTGTAACAGAGAGGAGCAGATGTAGACGAACCTGAATCACCATGTGCCTAACTTGTTGAACATCACAGTGGAAAATAAAGGAGGCTAAAGGCTTTGTAACTAAACACTAAGTGCAGTCAGTAGTTAAAGACATGCCTTTTAATTACAGATCTAAAATATAATGCATTAAAACAGGTTTTCCTGGCCACACAAGTCCTCAAATCCATACTAGGAATAATACACACTCCTGATGCACCAAACCTGTTGTGACAGTTACATCCACTTCACTCGTACACACGTGTGACTGAATGAATGTGCAGAATGTGCAGGGTAGTGTCTGTGTTTCCCTCTATTTGTGTTTGTCAGTCTGTCTATATTTGCTAGTCACTAGTGAGGTCTAGTTAATAGTTCAGTTGTTAGGTTTATACTGTGATCTACCAGAGATTCTCAAGATCAAGCCACATGTGCTACCATAAAATATAGAATTCAACATGAGTAAAATAATTGGGTGTTTTTTCTTAATCTATGTACATACACATAGATTTACAGTATATATATATATATATATATATATATATATCTTTTATATAATTACATATAAAGTTTGTTGTCTTTAGACATATGAGCCTGTTTACAAATACCTGATCTAGCAGTTCTATTTAGTTTCAGTGTGTATTAAAGGACCTGTGCATCAGTTTGTGAGTGATGGTATGTTATAATCCTGCATTATAATTTTTCTGGTTTGGCACCATTTTGCTTAAATTTGGATAATAGATCAGTGTATGGAATTGTTTAAAGGTCCCATATTGTATAAAGTGAGATGTCCATGCATTTTTTGATTAGAAAGCAGGTCTAGGTTCTATATTAATACTGTGAAAGTGTCAAGGTCCACAGAGAAACACAAACAGCCTGTATTCAGAAACTAAGCCTTAAAACTTGCAGCCAGGACTTCTGTAACTTTGTGATGTCACAACAAAGCAGTCATCGCTCTCAGCCGTGCCCCAAGCCCATTCCACCCTTGACGCAACATCCAAACTTGCAGGATTTGGTTTCTCTGACCGAAATGTGCTATATTTTTATTTGATCACTCAGAAAACAGTCAGCCAATCACAAGAGAGGCTCAGAGCCTCTCCTCTGATTGGCTCATTGACCTGTTGTTGCTAGAGCTCCAGAGAGAAGCCTGAGAGAGGAGATGTTAAACTACATTCAGATGGTTTTCATCTTCTTATTGCTATTAAAACTTCAAATAAAATGTAAAAGTGTAAATATGGGACCTTTAATAAGACCTGTATATTAAATGTTACCAAATATTTTCATGCTGGCTCTAATTCAAACTGCATTGAAAATACACTTGTACAGTCTAAATAACACACCAAATAAATTGCAATGCATACATGTCACTGACAGTTTATTTATTATTAATAGTGGCAAAACGGAAGAGCCCCATGCCTTACATAATCTCATCCATTATGGAATTGCAGCTGCAAGGTATGGATATTCTGCCCAGCAACACACTTACACCACTTACACATTCATCAGCACAAGCCCCAACACATATGGCGTGACAATTACAGCAGTATGTTAAAGATGCTACTGCAGCATATTCCCATTGCTAACATGCATCTAGTGTGTGAATGTGAAATAAGAAAGTGGAAAGATTAGGTGTTAGCAATGCAAAAATATCCAGTCTGAATAACAAAATGTGCGCATGCCATTTGCAACAATGGCTTTTTTTGTGAGAAAGGTGACAAAAGGCCATCACAGTGCGTATTTCTGAGATACACAGACCTGACCTGACCTCAGGCTTCAAATGGCACCTTTCATGAACACTGTGCATGCCATTTTTATCTGTGTTGCTACCTAGCTCAAGTAATGTAGTCCAGCCAAACGTTCTCAGTAGGTCAACACATGTATTATTCATGTTTCAGACACAGACATGTAGTCACACGCTCATATAAATGTAGGGATGAGTGGATAGTAGCGTGTGTTTCCAACAAACATACCTGGCCTTAAGATATACAGTAGTTATGAACATAAACACTTACATAAACAATGGCAAGGACACACAAACTCATGCACAAAAACACATACAAACACACTGATAATCATCATCCCCCACCAGACTCTCCCCCTGTCTGCGCATCTGTCACAGCTGGTTCTAATACGACACTCAATCCCTTATGTCCCATCTCTGCTCATGTCCAATTGTCACACACACACACACATACAGTACGTACACACACACATGATCAGGGTGGGTAAGAGCCAGGCAGAATCTTTCCAGTCTTTGCAAAGGGGGTCCAGTGACACACAGTCTCTTGACTGGGAGGTTAAAGGTCACAATCACACGCTGGTTAGGGACAAGCAGGGTGTCTGATGGAAATGATTAGAGGCTAAATAGGTAATGTGTTGTCTGCATCTAAATATGCATTGTTCTCAAGAAATCCTGCACGTAAAAGCGTCACTTCAAGAGTATCTGGTTGTCTCTGATGAAAAGAAGTTCGAATGTCTCTCCACATAATGGAGAATTAAAGAGGGATCAACCACAGGATGTTCTGTGTACTTCAGTAAAGTTCTCACACTTCCCTGCCATTCTCTGTCTGTGCTAGAACACACTGATACTAATATCATCATTCTGTGATGACGTCTGTCTAAATTTAGACACATGTATTAGTGGGTAGGCGAGGGAATCAATGACAGCAAAACTAAAATAGGACCAGGGGTCTCAGGACTGCTGGAGAATGATGTGGCTGGCGTCCGTTCATTTACTGCTGACTGTGTTTGAAAAGACGTTCTTTTTGGGTGGCCACAGTAATAATAAGATTCTGCATAAGAATAAATCCTCAAAATAAGAAGTCTTTCTCAAAACACTGGGATGAAAAAAAAGCACAAGAGCTTAAACCATCTGGTCAGTGTCAGTCAAACTGTAAGTTCAAATTTCCATTTTCTGTAACTGACACATGAAAGCTTTGGGAGTTTTACAAAGCACTTGTATGTTCTTAACAGTTCGGCTGATTGAAACATAACATGCATACATGATGCAACAACAGACACACGTGAGAGTCATGCATGCACATGAATTATGCATATGTATTCAGCAGACCGTGGTTCCAACTTCATTCATGCCTGCTTTAATTCCTAAGTGGGCCACAATGCTTAGTTTTTGAAGCTTTAAAGTAACCATGACCAGTTAACTGACAGGCTTGGCTAAATCAGAAAAGTGAGTGAAGACGTGCAGATGCGAAATTTAGCCTCTGCAGTTAAAAGCAGCAGGGTGGGATGAAGCCAAGCCCAGGCAGGACTGCAGGAAGCTTCAAAAAGTGATGTATGAGCAGACACATCCTGCAGGGAACTGTCAACTAATACCATCAAAATGAAAGGTGTTATAATTCTCCTGGCAATTATACACACAACAATAACAGCAGTAATGTTGCTGGTGACCTTAGCTTGAGTAATTCCCCGAACTCTCAGGATTACAGTGCTTGCAAGTGTGACTAACAGTGTGTGTGTGTGTGTGTGTGTGTGTGTGTGTGTGTGTGTGTGTGTGTGTGTGTGTTTTAAGTGCATGATTGCAGCAGGTTCGCGTGTGACAAAAAGCTAACACCCGTGGAGTTAAAACACAAAGCGTCTATTCACTGCAGGCTTAACAGGACACAAAGTAATAGTATTCTTCCCCTCACTTCCTTTGTCTCATTCAGCACTAAAACTCCTGCTCTTGCTTCACTGTACAACTGGATCCTCCCAGCTCATGTGTATCTCTTATAACACACACGTGGAAATGAAGTGGAGGGGGAAGAAGTGGAGTAGGCAAGACAGGAAATTAATCGTCGTTCTTCCCAGTTCAGCAGGAGGGCAGGGAGAAGGGACGGAGAGACAGACAGTTTCATCGGGAAAAGGAAAAGAACACAGTAAAAGTATCAGCCCATCTGCTCCCCGCTCACTGTCATGCACCTGTACAGCCCTGATGGATATGTGCCGACAGCCTGGACAAACTCACACACGTCACTATGGTGACAGCCGAGCTGATACTGTCAAAGTCATACATGTGCAGGTGTGCTGCATGAACATGAGGACAGACGCACACAGACATGACGGAGAGACTACCTACTGTCAGTAGAGAGGAGTAGATCAGTGTAGAACGCTCCATGGCAGAAATGAGTAAAGTCAGAGTAACACTGGAGAATCAGCATACGCCCTGACTCAAGCTCGCAGGCCCACCCCCCCACCCCCCCTCAGTCCTGCTGACCACTCTTCCTTTTCCCTTTTCCTTCCCTCGTTTTTTCTCCTTTTCCAATACAGCACACACAAACACACACACACACACACACACACACACACAAACACACACACGCAGGCACACTGAAAAAGGGCTGAACAGGGACGACAACAGAGGGTGGGAGTGTAAATTGAAAGTCCCTCCTACTGTCAGTGCTGTTTGCAAGCATGAGCAGACTGGATACCCTCCTACTGCCGCGCTCTGATTGGCTGGGAAACTTAAACTGTGGAGTGGGGTTGCATCATGGGCCAACAATTCGTGCTGGCCAGAGGGGAGAGAGAGGTAGAGATTGAAACAGACAAGAAGAAGGAGAGGAAGAAGAAGAAGGAAAGTCCAACTGTCAGAGCTGGAAAGACAATAACTTGAAACCGGGAGCATATTGCACGTCATGTCTCAATCTGGTGCCTCATTATGTGATTTGTGAGATGTTGTGCGCTCTGAAAAGCTTCGATGATCAGGCCCAGAAGCAGGTTTACTTCTCGAA